GGGGGGAGAGGGGGGGGAAAGTAAGTAGTAGTAAGTTACGTTTATTTATATAGCGCCTTTCACAGACCAGAGTCACAAAGCGGTTTACAATTGTTATTATTTTTGGGCATTAGTCTCTGAGTCCACACAGAGATGGGAGGGGCCAGTACAGGAGCCACAGACCTATTGGACATGTTTTTAGTGGGAGGGGAAACCGGAGCACCCGGAGGAAACCTACACAGACACGGGGAGAACATGTAAACTCCACTCAGAAAGGCCCTGGTCACAGATTCAGATTCAGTTTATTTGCCATTTGCAGTAAAACCACATTGGAATACATTAGCAAAAGTCTCCAGTGTGCACAGACAAATACAGACATAAAACAACATTAAAAGACAAAAATAAAACAAATAAAACAGTAAACAAATGTCACGGTGAAATCGATCACATGTCACTGTGGTCTGACCGGGATTCGAACCACGGACCTTCTTGCTGAGAAGCGAGAGTGCAAACCACCACCGTGCTGCCCCAGAAGGGGGAGAGAGAGGAGAGAGGGGAGTGTATGCAGAAAGGAAAGAAGTATTTAAAACCTCGGATTTTCACATCGCAGGAGGACAAAATATTACTTTGTTATTATTGGTTGTTGTATTTTTTTTTTTTTTTTAAATCTAGAGTTCTTTTTGTTTCATCAATAAAACATTTTTACATAAAACAGTTTGTCACAACAGAAAGAGACTCATCATAACCATAACACTTATATTAGAGGCTGTAGAAGCAAGGTCCAGACCTGGTCCAGATCTGGTTTCTTCCTGGTTCAGTCTTGGTTCAGACCTAGTTTCTTCCTGGTTCAGTCCCGGTCCAGACCTGGTCCAGACCTCGTTCGGATCTGGTTTCTTCCTGGTTCAGACCTGGCCCAGACCAGGTCCAGACCTGGTCCAGACTGCAGGGCTTCAGTGGAGTTCTGGTTTTGTCATTTATCAAAGTGAACATTGAACTGAAGACTCTGCCAACATCACCATCTGTCTCTACGTCCCACTGAGACCAGACTAGGACCCAACCAGGACCCAACCAGGTCTGAACCAGGTCTGAACCATGACTGAACCAGGTCTGAACCATGACTCAACCAGGGCTCAACCAGGACTCAACCAGGACCCAACCAGGACTCAACCAGGACCCAACCAGGACTCAACCAGGTCTGATCCTGGTCTGAACCAGGTCTGAACCAGGACTGAACCAGGTCTGAACCAGGACTAAACCAAGTACATAAATACAACCTAGTTATGTATTTTTCTGGTGCATACTGGGACTTTTGCAGATGTATTCCAATGGGGTTTTACTGCTAATGGAACCAGTATAAAACCAGGACCAAGTCAGGACTGGACCAGGTCTAACCCAATAAGATGCAGGATTCTAGTTTTGATCTATTTAATATATTCCAGCTGGTGTGTCCAAGTAGTTCAAAGCAGTCCAGGGGGGGGGGGGGGGGGACTACAGCAGGACCAAACCAGGTCTGATCCGGAGCCAGAACATGATCAGATGAGACCAGATCCAAGGAACAAAGACCGAAGCCAGACTAAACCAGGACCAAAGAGAGACTGAGAGATGTGTAAGTCTGATGTCATAATTCCAGGACTTTATGACAGAAGCTCCTGATGTTAGCGTGGATGGAGCTAAAAACAACTCCAGGTCTGTTTTTGAGGTTTTAAAATGATTAATGTTGTTCTGTGCTGTCATCTACAAACAAGACGAGCCCAAAACCTCACACTTAAAGGACACATATGATGCAGATTAGACTTTTTTAAGCTTCTAACCAAGTTACAGTCCACCACGGACCAGGAGTTGTTTTTAGACCCATCCACACTAACATCAGGAACAAACGTGTAGCTCCGCCCCTTCTGTCTGAAAGCTCCACTTTAGCAGCACACTCAGTTTTCTCACTTATAAAAACAAAAGTATTGCACATACATTAGTTTGAGCAATTTTTAAGTGAAATATTTCATTTAATTCCATTCAACTCAATGTATGTTTGTAAAGCCTGTATTCTACAGCTCCCTCTGGTGGCAGCAAAGGGACTAACAGCCTGAAAGCGTTTATACTTCAAACTTGTTTTTTTCTACTTAAGACTTTAGTTCAAATTTTCAAACATGTAATGATAAATAGTTTTTATAACGTGAAAAAAAACTTTAAAGGTAATTCTTGTGTTTTAACGTGCAACAATTATGCATAATATTACCTCTTTAAATACAGCCTCAGTCCTGGGTCTACAGCCTCAGTCCTGGATCTACAGCCTCAGTCCTGGGTCTACAGCCTCAGTCCTGGGTCTACAGCCTCAGTCCTGGGTCTACAGCCTCAGTCCTGGGTCTATACAGCCTCAGTCCTGGGTCTACAGCCTCAGTCCTGGGTCTACAGCCTCAGTCCTGGGTCTACAGCCTCAGTCCTGGGTCTACAGCCTCAGTCCTGGGTCTACAGCCTCAGTCCTGGGTCTACAGCCTCAGTCCTGGATCTACAGCCTCAGTCCTGGATCTACAGCCTCAGTCCTGGGTCTACAGCCTCAGTCCTGGGTCTACAGCCTCAGTCCTGGATCTACAGCCTCAGTCCTGGGTCTGCTTCTCTGCTCAGACTGCTGCTGAGCAGAGTGAGGAAGAGTGTGAGCAGAGTGAGGAAGAGTGTGAGCAGAGTGAGGAAGAGTGTGAGCAGAGTGAGGAAGAGTGTGAGCAGAGTGAGGAAGAGCGTGAGCAGAGTGAGGAAGAGTGTGAGCAGAGTGAGGAAGAGCGTGAGCAGAGTGAGGAAGAGCGTGAGCAGAGTGAGGAAGAGCGTGAGCAGAGTGAGGAAGAGCGTGAGCAGAGTGAGGAAGAGCGTGAGCAGAGTGAGGAAGAGTGTGAGCAGAGTGAGGAAGAGCGTGAGCAGAGTGAGGAAGAGTGTGAGCAGAGTGAGGAAGAGTGTGAGCAGAGTGAGGAAGAGCGTGAGCAGAATGAGGAAGAGCATGAGCAGAGTGAGGAAGAGCGTGAGCAGAGTGAGGAAGAGCGTGAGCAGAGTGAGGAAGAGCGTGAGCAGAATGAGGAAGAGCGTGAGCAGAGTGAGGAAGAGCGTGAGCAGAGTGAGGAAGAGCGTGAGCAGAGTGAGGAAGAGTGTGAGCAGAGTGAGGAAGAGCGTGAGCAGAGTGAGGAAGAGCGTGAGCAGAGTGAGGAAGAGCGTGAGCAGAGTGAGGAAGAGCGTGAGCAGAGTGAGGAAGAGCGTGAGCAGAGTGAGGAAGAGCGTGAGCAGAGTGAGGAAGAGCGTGAGCAGAGTGAGGAAGAGTGTGAGCAGAGTGAGGAAGAGCGTGAGCAGAGTGAGGAAGAGCGTGAGCAGAGTGAGGAAGAGCGTGAGCAGAGTGAGGAAGAGCGTGAGCAGAGTGAGGAAGAGCGTGAGCAGAGTGAGGAAGAGTGTGAGCAGAGTGAGGAAGAGTGTGAGCAGAGTGAGGAAGAGTGTGAGCAGAGTGAGGAAGAGTGAGGAAGAGCGTGAGCAGAGTGAGGAAGAGCGTGAGCAGAGTGAGGAAGAGCGTGAGCAGAGTGAGGAAGAGCGTGAGCAGAGTGAGGAAGAGCGTGAGCAGAGTGAGGAAGAGCGTGAGCAGAGTGAGGAAGAGCGTGAGCAGAGTGAGGAAGAGTGTGAGCAGAGTGAGGAAGAGCGTGAGCAGAGTGAGGAAGAGTGTGAGGAAGAGTGAGGAAGAGTCCATTACTGCTGTTGGTGAATATGAAGCATTCTGGGTAATCTCGGGGAAATCGATACTTGTCGGTTTGTGAGGCTGTTTTTAAAGTAGGACGGGGCCCGATCCATCCGTCACCGCGGAAACCAGGGAAGGAGACGAGGAGACGGTGATGGAGGAGATGAGGACACATGTCGACACTCTGTGGTTTTATGAAGGAGATTGTGTTGGGGTCGATACTGTGACTAAAGAGGGACGTCAGAAGGTTTTCAGTTCTGTCAAAAGAGTTCAAGTCCAGAGGCACGGGAGGAAAATAACTCATTAGAAATGCTGTCGTCGCGGCGACGAGACGGCTGGGCTCAAGTCCTCTGGGCTCAAGTCCTCTGGGCTCAAGTCCTCTGGGCTCAAGTCCTCTGGGCTCAAGTCCTCTGGGCTCAAGTCCTCTGGGCTCAAGTCCTCTGGGCTCAAGTCCTCTGGACTCAAGTCCTCTGGGCTCAAGTCCTCTGGGCTCAAGTCCTCTGGGCTCAAGTCCTCTGGGCTCAAGTCCTCTGGGCTCAAGTCCTCTGGGCTCAAGTCCTCTGGTGGGTCCTGTATGTGACAAGGAGAAAGAGCTCGACTGCTTCACAGAGAAAGAAAAAGATAGATTCATAGATTCATAGATTCATAGATAGATTCATAGATAGATAGATAGATAGATAGATAGATTCATAGATCTATGAATCTATGAATCGAGGCCTGTGGAGGTGGAGCCAGAAGGAGATTTAGTCAATGCTTTTGTCATCTTTCCTTTCGAAAACGGCTTTTACAGGATGGTCCAAATGTGCCTCTGTTCGGACCATTTTCTTTGCTCTGGTTCAGAGTGAAATTCTGAAAGCTTTAAAAAGTTATCATTCCTTCAGTGGATATCTGCTTGATCTGCTTGCTTGGGACCATGAATCCTCTCTGCTCTGGTCTGGACCAGTGTAAAACCATGAATCCTCTCTGCTCTGGTCTGGACCAGTGTAAAACCATGAATCCTCTCTGCTCTGGTCTGGACCAGTGTAAAACCATGAATCCTCTCTGCTCTGGTCTGGACCAGTGTAAAACCATGAATCCTCTCTGCTCTGGTCTGGACCAGTGTAAAACCATGAATCCTCTCTGCTCTGGTCTGGACCAGTGTAAAACCATGAATCCTCTCTGCTCTGGTCTGGACCAGTGGAAAACCATGAATCCTCTCTGCTCTGGTCCATGAAGGGCAGAGACCACACATGTTGATAGATGTCGCGGGTCCTGGATCAACACCGATTCTGTCCAACTTTAAAATATCCCACAGAGAGATGTTGACTTTTGGAGGACCCAT